CTGGGGTCAAGAAACCAAGGGTTTTATAATTCATCTGCTGTAGCTGCGTTTATACCCTGCCAAGGGAATCACTAGGAGACAAGAACAATGGTGCATTGGTGCAAAAGCCACTGAACTGATTCATATTAGAGAATACATAAAGGAATTTCAAAAATTAAAAGTTTTCTGTTTTGGTACAATAGTATTATGTAAAATGAAAATGATCCCCAAATTATTTTTTTTATTTTAGATATTACCAATGAAGGTAGAAGAAAAACAGTTAAAAGAATGGCAGACAAGGATTAATATGTATTGCAATGGTAATAAGAGAGCTAGAAGTAATAAGAATCTATGGTATGTATCACAAAAATGAAGTTTAGATACACCCAAAATTAAACTGTATCAATTGACCACTTCACACTGAGCACACCAATGACATATTCCAGATATAATAGCAATTTGGAGATAGTCTGAATTTTATGGAAAAGAGGGAATGATGGACAATATAATTTTCAAAAGAGAAAATTAAGGGAGAGATGAAAAATGTAGACAATCCATTTTTAAAAAATATGTTAGTGTTGGAAAAATGATAGGGAAGTGTTAAATCCAATTTCACCTTTGTTGCAGGAAGTTGAATTAAAAAAATTTCCCAGATAATCTCAAAGAGATATTAAAAAGAGTTTCACCATGCAAGGGAATAATGAAAATAAAAGGATGGATAAAACAAATTCAAGATATGGAATGTGTAAGAGAGATACTGGGAGAGTGGATTCCATGGTTAAACATATTTCAATTAGAAAACTGAATGAAAGAATGGAAAACAAAAGAAGGAGAGGAGAAAAATGACAAAATGTGAGATTACAGAAAAAAGAGAAAACGTAAACAAGGGAAACTAGAAAGGGAACAGTGAGTGCAATATATAAAATGTTAATGCAAACAGATTATCAAAAATATGTTAAAAGATTTGTGGCAAGAAGATTTGTATGAGGAAATTTAAAAAGACTGGAATAAAATGTGGAATAAAAGAATAATTAAAATATATTTGTAAGGATGAAGGAAAACTGTTGCAAAGTTGTTGGATATGCTTTATAACATCGGTAAATTTGAATATAATAAATAAAGACATATCTTCACTGTCTTGGAGATGTAAAAAAGAAAAGGGGATGCATTTATATATGTGGTGGTTTTGTGAAATAAGGAAGAAGGAATGGTTAATTATTTTCAAGGAACTTGTGAAATAAGGAAGAAGGAATGGTCAATTATTTTCAAGGAAATGAGATAAATAACTGTGTGAAGGTACAAATATCTTCAATGACTGCTGTTGAATCTGGTTGATATCAATTGAAGATAAAAAAATTAACGTATTATTATAATAGTGATGGTAGAAAGAGTAATAGTTGCAAAAAAATTGGAAATCTAATAATCAAACTAGAAGGGAGGAGTGGTATAGAGTAATGTGGAATATGGCAATTAATAATAAGTTAACTTATGGAACAAAGATTTGAAGAAGAATGATGAAATGTAATGATTTTAAACAAATATGGAACTTGTTCTTGGTACATGTGTTTCAGAAAGGAAAGGGGTACGTATATACCAGAGGAAACAATGTATTACTGGAGTGAAATGGGACAATCTGAAATATAAGAATGAAGAACTTGGAACCAGTCCTGAATGGGGGGTGGGCTGCACAGAGTGAAAAAAAAGGACAATCTGAAATATAAGAATGAAGAACTTAGAACCAGTCCTGAATGGGGGTGGGCTGCAGAGTGAAAAAGGGTCATGTGATAAGTGATTACAATGTAATGTTTTGTAAAAGAGTAGAGATAAGTGATTACAATGTAATGTTTTGTAAGAGAGTAGATATTGTATGTTTTTCTTTTTTATTTAAATAAATAAAAGCACACATACACACAAAGACTGGCATCCATCATCGTGAACTACATGCTCTGAAGGATGCAGAAAGAATACAGGGCATACACACATATAACACATTAAGGGGAACCTTTACCTTTACCTAGATATTGTATGTTATTCTTTTTTGCTTAAATAAATAAAAGCACACATACACACAAAGACTGGCATCCATCATCGTGAACTACATGCTCTGAAGGATGCAGAAAGAATACAGGGCATACACACATATAACACATTGATTTCAGAATTAACACTCAGAAGTTGTTTTCTGGTATTCTTTCATTTGAAGTAGACTGGCATCCATCATCTTGAACTACATGCTCTGAAGGATGCAGAAAGAATGCAGGGCATACAAACATATAACACATTGATTTCAGAATTAACACTCAGAAGTTGTTATCTGGTATTCTTTCATTTGGAGTCATATCATATATATTCTGAGAGACACAGAAACCGTACCAAA